CTTTTAGGAGGAATGATTTTAACAATTTACTTGTTATAAATATTTACCGCACACAATTTATGGAAAAGGTTAACATCATTCAGGTATCACGTTCAGGTATTGAATTTATAACATCATTCAGTCATAAAAACATCATTTGTCATTCTTTCAAATATTTTGGAGCTAATTCGCAAAAAATGCTTGAGATCCAAACGTAAACAAAGAACCATGACTTTCTATCGGTTAACAGGTCTTATGCCAATGACCCTCAATAAATACAAATATTTTTTTTCTCATATAATATACTGTTATCTATATACTATTTATAATTTCGCCAAACTCCCGAGGGTATTATTGCATTATTGATCAGATCGGATTTCTGTTAGACAATAGGCTAAATTTATTGTTTGCCTCATGAATCTTTCAGACTCCTGAATTTCTTCAATGCACAGTTTATCAGGTAGAAGAAAACTATATTTCGAGCCCGTTTAATCTGCTTAAGTTCATTCATATGTGTCAGCGTAAAAGACATGAGTTTCGAAAAGGAACAAAAGAATTTTTTTTGAGTGAACGATTCTCTGATGGCGAGTTCAACATGTCACCGGAGTATTGACGCATAGTAGCTCTGTACAACTGGTGTTAACAAGAATTATTTCCCGAACAGTCATTTTTTAACATTTTACAATCCAACATAAACTTCAGTGTAGAATCATTCATCTCAGTCAGATCCCTCTGCTCGCCGGAAAACCAATATCTTACAGTGGAAGCTCACTAGTCAGAGAAAACAGAGAATGGTCAAGTGTCGAGGCAATGTAAACACGAGTCCTCCGTCAAGACATAGAAGCTTATACATGTACATCTCCGGGAAAGCTTCTCTGCTTATCGGCGCAGTCCTCCCATCAACGTCACAGCATTGTGTCAATCCTGTGAAGGCATGGGATTCTCATGGGTAGTTCACGTCTCTTCGCGAAGAGAATAATACGGCACAGAAAGTGCGAGAAAAGAGTTACTATAATTTGTAATAAGAATTTCGCTAATTCCATTAATAGTAGGAACCTAGTGTCTGACATTCGAAGGCTCACAACAACTCTAGGAGGGGCACCTATATAACGCACCCATCCTCACTGACTAGCTTGTATTACGCTCTCAAACGCACGTGCTCCCGTTCGTCTAAGTAGTGACGGTTGGAAGAGTTCTCTTCTATTTCTTCCTCTTCATTACCTTGATTTCCGGCGCTGCTTCCTCGGTATGTTCTCCGGCGTCTACCGTACCCACGCGCTGGGATACAGACAAGATAGATGAGAGCCTCACCGTCCGGCGTGTGCTTACTGATTGCAGGACTGGTGAAAAGCAAACCTGCGATAGGGATCCCCCGTCTGCGAGATCGAGGGCAGCACTGGTCGTGATTGTTGCTAGAAGCGCTCGTGAACCAAAAGGCGGATGTCTTAAACCGCAGGGCCCGCGAGAAAAGGTGCACATACACTCCGGTCTGCTGCCAGGGGCAATGCACCAAATTGTTCAGCGATAATGTATTGTTTTTTAATTTTTTCGTCTATACCATACTAATATTCGTTTAGGAAAAATAACCAATTCAAACATAAACATCCGAAAATTTGGAGCCTGTGAAAGTCATTCATTGGGGATAAAAGATGAAATCGCACTGAACTTGGAATATAATATCCGGCATAATTTAGATTTTAAATTACGCTTAAATGGGAATATTACCAAGGAAGAGTGGATATATTATTTATCTTCTTCCTAACTTATGGCCCAATTATACGGAAAGAAACGTACCCTTCGACTGTACATTGAATCATATCGCGGGCATGGTGTGTAGAAGACGTCGCATGATGTACCATTATTTCGGCTTCCATTCTTAATGAATGAGACCTGGAAGTCGAAATCAACGATGCAAAGGTTTCAAAAGCATTATTGATCCCAGAGATGACTAATTAATTTCATTGCGTCCTGCTCTACAAGAAAACACCGATGCCAACAAGGCGTCAAATCCCTTAAGTAAACTTCAAGATTTACTTGTCCTCAATCTCTCGCATCTAATATTCATTTCCAACAACTTTAATATGAGAATGACGGACAGTGCTAAGTGCCTTGCTGCCCCTCATGGGCCTCTCTTCGGCGAGCAATATTTAAGCACTTTAAGAGTAACGTGACAGAACCGCAAGCTTTAGGCTGGTAACCTGCTGGCCGTTGACTGAGATTTCCCGTCTCTGATGAAAATTATGAAGTCCAACTCAACTTTTCATCTTCTTCAGTGTATAGAACACAGCTCTCCTCCTTGATGTAACCCTTGCTGATGAAGCCGATTAAGACATCGATTCCACAACATTTATGTTTCACTACTCATGCAATCCTCTCACTTAACATATATGAACTGTCCCTATCAGTTTCCTTTCTTCACATGGGGAGTGCAGCATTTGACATTTGTTAAGCCCTTGTCTCCATCAAGGTTATTTTCCAGAGAGTTGTGAGCAGCAGTCTAACATAATGATCTTCGATTTTCTCCTTCAAGCAGTACCCGTTCATCTACAGGCGTTAGTTAGATGCATAAGGTAGAGCCTCCTCTAATCGATTTTAATTTTTTTATTATCTACTTTATCCATTACATCTTATTCTCTTTTCGTAGTCAAGTCTAATTTCAGGGAAGATAATTTATTAGAAATTGATAGACAGAGGAACGACAGCAAACGCTGGAAATGTGCTTATTGTAATTTCATGGAATTTCTTATTGCCGACTGATATCACCTAATATGCTGTTTCAATAGCCTCTTCGTCATACGGTGGAGTCGCTAAAGTGACTTCCTGCGCCTCCCAACGCCAGACGCATTCTTTCATAAGAGCATTTCAAACGCGACGTGTTGACAAACAAGCATCAAAATTGGGGTCTCACGGCCATCGATGGGCCCCTCTTCCGTTCTGTGATGATAATTCTTTTGTAACGAAATTGGTGTAATATTTAATTGTTTAGCACACCATTTCTACAGTGAGGCAGCCTTTCCCGCTGGGACTCATATGTCGCTGGTTCCAGTGCACAAACATTTCCGTGAGCAGGCAAAACGGTCCCTTCATCTGTCTGTATTGTTCCAGTCAACTTTCCTTTTTCTCATGTAGGAAGAGTAGTCATTCTTAAATAGCGTTCTTAGACATATTATTTGATTGCTGCATGTTTTAGATGCATAAAACAGAAATTTGAGTTCTTATTTTTATGTTTAACTTATAGTTTATCTGAATTTAATGATTTGTATATTTGAATAGGCTGATCATATTGAATTATTGATTAAATAATTCTGATTTTAGTTCTAACATTTATATCAAAGGTTTTGAAGCCTTAGACTTAGCTAGTTTCTATCTCAGAAATTGAGAAAATTGAAGTACAAATGCAAGAAGAACATCCTAACAAATAGTTAACTATATATAGTAAAGGGTCATATGGTATAAATTAATATATTATGTGGCTCATGATCCATTTGTTGATGCATATGAAGAATATGATATTTCATCTGAATTGTTTTTATCAAGATTTAAAACTCATGCAGAAATATTTATCTATCCTACATAATTTCCACTTAACATTGGACAAGTTCTCAAATCTATAACAAGTACCAAATTAATAAGAAAACAAAGAATCAACTGAATATTCAAGATTCGAAAGTTTACCTCAACATTGACACATCAGAGAGCACAAAGATAAAAAGTGAAATGAAGTCAGATAATCTAGAGCCAACATGGATGTCAAGATGGCTTCTAGTAAGTTGGGAACCTCTAGTTCAAATTTGAATTCAAAAGACAATAAGAATAGACAAACTTGGATATTGAGAGGTCCACGTATGAAAACTACTAATTATGGTAAATAGTTAAAATTTAAAAGGTCAACTCAAATGTTGGGAACTCTAGAAAATTAAAAAACTAGGAGAGAACGAAGTCAATTTATAAGAGAAGAATTGTGCCGGCTATCATACATCAATGCATCCCAAAATTTTAGTCAGGGCCAAAACACTCAAATGGATGCTTTTTAGCAAAACAATAATTACTTTCCACGGGCATTTGGCATTGCGCTATGTATTGATAATCATGTCATTCCTTCATTCCGTATTATATTGCAGGTGAGTACTTCGTTATATCCCTAAACAACCTGCTCCAGTGTGTTATTCCACAAATCTGATCGCTCTTATCCGGCTAAATTTATTGCTTGCCCCATGAGGACATGAATGTTTTAGACTGTGGTAAATTTCTCCAGAGAACAGTTTATCATGTAGAAGATAACTATATTTGTAGCCGATTGAAACCCACTTGAATCATGTGTGTTCGCGTGAAAGACTTGAGGAGTACTGGCTAGCATGCATTTCGACCATGAACAAAAGAAGTTTTGTTGGACTAAAGGTTTCTCTGACGTCGAACTTAATACCTCCCCAGTATCGATCTTGAGCAGCTCTGTACAGCAGGCGTCATATACAAAAATATATCTAAAGACCCATTTTTTACCATTTAACAAACTAACACAGTTTCTTCGTTTGGCATCATTCATCTCATAGTTAGTCGTCTGCTCGCGGGAGAACCAATATCTTAAAGGGAGCATCTGTGAACTTCCATCGTGTCCCTGATTAGTACGAGAAAACAAAGAAGGTAAAAGTGTTGAGGCATTATAGACACGGTTCCTTCGTCAAAACTTTCAAGATTATACATGTCGTACAACTCCGGAAAGCTTCTCCGCGCATTGGGGCACTCCCGTCAACTACGTCACGGCATTTGTCAACTCTCTGAAGACGTGCCTGTGTCGGGCAGCTCGCGCCTCTTCGCGAATAAAATTATACGCCGCGAAAAGTCAGCGAAAGGAGTACTACGATTATTATAGACAACTTGCTAAATCCATTAATAGTAGGGACCCAGGGCCAGAACTTGGAACCCCCTCAAAAACACTACAAAAGCATCGATATAACCCACCCATAGTCGTTGCCAACCTTGAGCCACGCTCACAAACACATTTGCTCTCCTTCTTCCAAGCAATGACGACCGTAATCGTTTTCGTCTATTTCTTCCTCATTCACTTGATCGCCGGCACCGTGTCCTCAGTATCTTCTCCGCCCTCCACCATGCCCAAGGTCGGCGAGGAGACTGGCATCTGGGATAGACACCAGATGGACGTGAGGCTCTCCTTGCGTCGTGTACTCAGCGAACGCAAAACTAGAGAAAACACAACCTGCGACAGGGAGCCCCGGGTCTGCGAGATCGCGGGCAGCCCTGGTCGCGATTGCTGCCAGAAGCGCTGCGTGAACCAGAAGACGGATCTCTTGAACTGCGGGGGCTGCGAGAAAAGATGCACATACGGTCAGGTCTGCTGCCAGGGGAAATGCACCAACATTCTTTTCGACTGGAGAAACTGCGGTGCCTGCAACCGACGTTGTAGGAGGCCCAACTCCTGTCGATACGGCATGTGCGACTACGCGTAGTGCCCTCCTAGAAGCCATATGCTATGTGATTGAATAAACGAGCACCCGCGGGTTATCAGACCGAGTCGAGGAATATCAGCTTACTCTCTGCTGCAAGCGGCCATGCCTGATGCGGCAGATCATATATCTATCTATGTAGCTCACGAATCAAGTCTCCGTCAGTTTGTATCAATCACTATCGCTCAGTTTGTTACGTGATGAATGTATTGTTTTCTTGTGATTCTTTTTATACCAGAATACAATTCCTTTACAGAAGTTCATTGGCTGATTAATTAGAAGAACTATATAATTTTATATTCGACACCTAAATGAAAAGCAAGTCACAGGATGGACAGTGTATCCTTACCAAATAAGTACTTTGGAACAGGGTGTGAAGTAAATGAAACAAAGTGACTACCGAGCGACACGGTGTCCACAGTAGTGCACAAGTCATTGAAAAAATTCTGTTGTATCTGCTGGATATAGTAGATCGGCTGCATACGATATCTTACATGGGTACTAAATCACAATTATAGAATAAAGTTCTCCAACATGTCTTCAAATTTACATTGAAGTTTTCCTTTCTAACATAAATTCAAATTAGCGACAAGTAATTTTAAAGAAGTTATGGATATTGTAAAATAAATGAGGTATCCATAGTACCAAGATAAGTGGTGCCTATCCCAAATGTTAGATATATTTATCTAGGTCCTCTGTACATTTTGTTCCACTAGACAATGAAGCATAACTTTGAGTAAGGATTGGTTGACATTTTAGTCTGCTAAAAGGAAAGTTTAAGAAGACTTCCACCGATTATAGTTAGAAGCTCATCAATCAAATTATGTACTATGATCTCACAATCAAATTTCTCATGAGGAAGGCCTCTAATGATAGGTAATAGTCCACTTAATTAAAGAAACGTGTTGTTCCATTTCAGTAGCTTCCTCGTCAAATGACGAACTTGGTAATGTGACTTCCTTCACACCCTATACTAGTCATCAGGCCTGCTTTGATAAGACCTTCATGGACATTGATGGGAGCCTCATGGCCATCGATGGGTGTTTCTTCAGTTCTATGATCATAAATTACATATAGTGCAACTGATGTAATATTCACTTGTTTAACATCCCTTTCTACAGTGATACAATTGTTCCCTTCATAATGTAGCTGACCCACTGCACATAATTCCACAAATATGAAAGTCACTTTCTTCACGTGTTTGTATTGTTCCTGTCAACTATTTTTTTTCCTGTGTTGTAAGAGTTGTCATTAAGCCACCATCGCTATCTTGTTATTAACAATTGACTTGTGGGCATTGATAAGTCTTTATTATTATGAGTTAATAATTAGTAAATAATATAATTTTAGTCTTAACTCATGATAAATAGACTTATATTTGTGTTAAAGTGTAAAAATTAGTTTTCAGTTGATTAACATGAATTTTTGGCTAATTATGTTATGTTATATGAATTTATGTAATTTGTACAGCCTTATTTTTGAGATAAATAAAGAAAATATATATATATAACAAAATAAGGGGTATCCGCCGACCAACCAGGCCCACAAGCAGGTCGAAAGTGTAGTCGGGGAGGAGCCGTGAGCAGGGGCTCAAGTGGCTAAGACCGATAGGGGCACGTGTGCACCACTCCCCTTCCACGTCACTAGTGGCCAGCTAGCTGTGGGGCAAGGAGTGATCGTATACGTAAGAGAAAGGGACTTGCTTGTAAATATAATATTAGTATATATTTGTTAGAAACTTCGACACACAAGCAATACGGGACTAAACCCATGTCACACCTTTCCCATAAGGCTTCAATAATTTTAATACCTACAATACCCCTTGACGTGACTCAGTCGTTGTATATTAAATCACGCAAATCTAAAATTTATAAAACTAGAAAATACGAATTTTCGGATATTTAGAAGTATTTCCAAATAAATATATCAATTATAATTCAATAAAAATCCCAAAAATAGTGGTAATTTTCCAAGTCGATCACAGGGATGTAATATAATATTTGGTAATTATTCAGAATTTTTCTCAATGAGTACGATTTTCTTACGAATTTTATACTAGGAAATAAAAAGGAAATATATTTAAAATTCACAAAAAGAAAAGGAAATAAGGGTGCGGACGTCAGGATGACGTCAGCGCCCGGCGAACGCGAATCAGGCGGAAACAGAGTTCCGCCCGGCGATTCTTACGTAGGCGATTACAGACGACTCAATTAATCAAATTAAGATCTGTAAAAGCCGGAAGAATCGTAATTGAACGAAGTATAGTTTGGTAAATAAAAATCAACAAAGTATCACTAAATGAAGCGTAAATTAAATTGAAAGCAGGAAAACAGAGTTCCGGCGTCGCGACGGCGATGCGTCGGCGATGCACCGGAATCCTGAGCGTTCGGGAGGATCGTCGTGCAGTGTCCACGGCCTCGAAGGCTCTCCTTGGACAAAGACGACGTGGGCAATCTCTAGATAAAGCAGGAAAACAGAGTTCCGGCGTCGCGACGGCGACGCGTCGGCGATGCACCGGAATCCTGAGCGTTCGGGAGGGTCGTCGTGCAGTGTCCACGGCCTCAAAGGCTCTCCTTGGACAAAGACGACGTGGGCAATCTCTAGATAAAGCAGGAAAACAGAGTTCCGGCGTCGCGACGGCGACGCGTCGGCGATGCACCGGAATCCTGAGCGTTCGGGAGGGTCGTCGTGCAGTGTCCACGGCCTCGAAGGCTCTCCTTGGACAAAGACGACGTGGGCAATCTCTAGATCTTCTCGCGAAGTCTAGAGACCAATGAAGTGGGTCGTCGAATCGTCTCCGGCGGCTGTCACCCGGCGGAGCGGAAAAACGGCGACTTTGCGGCTCTCCGGCGGCTGTCACCCGACGGAGAGGGGCTGGATGGAGGTGAGGCGCGTGTTAGGGAGCTTCATCCTCAGGTCCGCGCAGCAAGAGGAGGCTCTTCATCGCATCTGGTACGCTCTCAGGAGGTGGCGACTGGTCTCCCGGCGGATCGTCCTCTTCCCGACGACGGCTTGTTCGTCGATCAATCGGAGATGATTTACTCGATGGATTGCGATCCTTTTATCGCGAATCGTTCAGAAATTTTAGTAGCAATGCTCCGCGAATCGCGTTGACGAGATTTTCGCCGATGATCCAGCGATTCCGGTTGCTTAATCCTTCACCGGCGATCTGCAGGAAAGTCACGATAATCAGTTAAAAATATATGAATTTTGACTCTGGGAGGATTCGAACCTGCGGCGGTCGCCCGCCCCTGAAGGTTTAGTCCCACATCGGTTGTGCGCGGATTATTTGGGCAAATATATAGTAAAGTTACCTTTCTAGGCAAAGTCCTCTCGCGTGTGCGACCACTCCTTGCCCCACAGCCGGCTGACCACCGATGACGTGGAAGGGGAGTGGCGCCCACGTGCGCCTATCGATCTAAGCAAGCCGCTCGAGCCCCTGCTCGCGGCTACTCCCCGACTGCGCTTTCGACCCGCTTGCGGGCCCGGCTGGCCGGCGGATCCCCCCATTTTGCAATATTTTTATTTTTATTTCTTGTTCTTCATTTATCTCAAAACTAAGACTGTAAAAATCGTATAAAATCACATAATTACCCAAAAATTCACGTTAATCAACTGAAAACCACTTTTCATGCTTTAACACAAATATAAGTCTATTTATCATGAGTTAAGGCTAAAACTATATTATTTACTAATTATTAACTCACGATAATGAAGACTTATCACCCCTTATTTATAATAAAGATATACCATGATGATGTCATTTTATAAGGGCATTATAGTACTTATGTCAATCTCTCTCATGTAGGTGGGCAACTAGCGTGGGTTCAAATTCTTCAAGAACCAAAACTCATATTTTTTATCTAATTATCGTGACTTTCCTACAGATCGTTGGTGAAAGATTAAGCCGTTAGAATTGCTAGATCATCGGCAAAAAAAATCTCATCAATGTGATTTGCGAAGCATTGTTACTAAAATTTTAGTAACGATTCACGATAAAAGGATTGTGAATTCATGGCGTAAATCATCTTTGATTGATCGACGAACAAGTCATTGTCAAGAAGAGCACTAACATGACTTAGTCATTGTATAGTAAATCACACAAATTTAAAATTTTAAAAATTAGAAATATGATTTTTTTAATATTTAGAAGTATTTCAGAATAAATATATCAATTATAACTCAATAAAACTTTCAAAAATAAGGGTAACTTTTTAGGCTGATCACAGGGATATAATATAATATCAGATAATTATTTAAATTTTTTCTCAAAGAATACTATTTTCTATGAATTTTATACTAGGAAATAAAAATTAAATATATTTAAAATTCACAAAAAAGGGAAATAAGGGTGTGGATGTCAAGATGACTGACGTGACTTAGTCATTGTATATTAAATCGCGCAAATATTAAATATATAAAACTAGAAAATACGAATTTTTAGATATTTAGAAGTATTTCTAAATAAATATATCAATTATAATTCAATAAAAATTCCAAAAATAGCAGTAATTTTCCAGGTCAATCACAGGAATGCAATATAATATCTGGTAATTATTCAGAATTTTTCTCAATGAATACAATTTTCTTACGAATTTTATACTAGGAAATAAAAAGGAAATATAGTTAAAATTCACAAAAAAAGGAAATAAGGGTGCAGACGTCAGGATGACGTCAGCGCCCGGCGAACGCGAATCAGGCAGAAACAGAGTTCCACCCGGTGATTCTTACGTAGGCAATTATAGATGACATAATTAATCAAATTAAGATCTGTAAAAGTTGGAAGAATCGTAATTGAACGAAGTATAGTTTGGTAAATTAAAATCACACAAAGTATCACTAAATGAAGCGTAAATTAAATTGAAAGCAAGAAAACAGAGTTCCGGTGTCGCGACGGCGATGCGTCGGCGATGCACCAGAATCCTGAGCGTTTGGGAGGATCGTCGTGTAGTGTCCACAGCCTTGAAGGCTCTCCTTGGACAAAGACGACGTGGGCAATCTCT